TTTTTTCACTGATTCATGCCCCTCAGGGCAGTACTCAAGTCCTCATACCACTTTTATGGGCAATACCTTGCATATAAGCCTTCAAAATGGGCACTTTTATAAGTTCGAGTCCCATAGACTTGCATTGAGTTCGTGGTCGAACTTTCATTAGGTTTGAATTTTCAACCGCAAACCGAACAGGCCATAACTAATGACAAGACACCGAGGTCCATTTAGAAGCCGGTGTGGTTGTACTACAGCCATGATGTTTTTGTTAAAAGTTCCGTACATTTATGAAGAACAGCAGTGTGGTTTATAAATGTGCATAGCCGGAGGCTTTGGGAGATCTAAAAATGAATGGGATTGTAAAAAAAAAAGTCATAATGAGAATCCTGTGATTTGACTTTAGTGGGCTCTCCTCCAATCACATAGCTCTCTGCTGTGTTAACTGGGGAGAACTCCTTTAACTTCCACAGGTTCAGTTTTATGAATGGCCTGCAAAATACAGTATTGATAAATCCTGCTGGTATAATGGGGAGCGGATATCTTCTCTATATTATAAGTCATCTCTGAGAGTTTAATGTCTCCATGTTGTCTTTATCAGGAGTCACAATGATGGATTGGAGGGTCACCGCGACCAGTATCAGCTACCGGATCTCTTGCACTCCTCAATGTCCCCAGACCTGGAGATTTACTGTGGAATGCTGTCATAGTCCAAATTATTTTGATCATAGATCATGTCAGTATTTATATGGTAAAGGTGGGACATTCACCAATCTACGGCCATCCACTAGGTATAATATACGCATCAAACCTTATACAGAGCAGGAAGAACGCAATCTGGTGGACAAAGTTTTCTGGACGGAGGAGTCAGGTGAGAGAATGGTCTGTTCCTACACAAGTATTGTCTGTTCAGGTATCAGCCAACACTGGTCATAGTACGTAGCCTGTCATTTATCTGTAGCACCCCTCTGACACCCCAAAACCAAGATGGCACCTTCAGAGGTGGGATAGCATTTCACCAAACGGTTGGGTCCATGGCTAAAATGGGGGAACCGAGAAAGGATATTAGGTCCAGAGGGGAGGGTTAGGGGTCCACATACTGTAGCAGATCATTTTCAGACTTTCCAGATTTAGAGCAATGTCCATCTTCAGTGTCAGAACCTTTAAACCAAACCGACAAGACTGTAAGCACGTTCCCAAATTTCAGTGTGTCCTCCAAGGGAGTCACCAGGCCCTTCTGAGAAACCTGCCTTTTTCCTGGTTCTCTCCTGCAAGGGGCCTACCCTGGGTTTCTTCTTTGGAATAATTTCCTCCAGACCAGGCAGGACAGCTTCAAGACTATTTCAGCACACGTTAGGCCCTCAACCAGGCTATTGGCTATTGAGCCCAACAGCAGAGCGTCATCCAGCAGCACCTCCCTGGGCCTCAGTCCAGGGAAAGAGAGTGAGCACATGGTCTGGCCTAAATATTTATATCCTCCTCCAACATGCACCGGTGCTAACAACATCCTACCAGACTGTCTTAAAGAAATACAAATATTCATAACTTAGTTTTGTTTTCAAAATCTCATGCTATGACCAGTGATACTAGTGACAGCTACCGGCGACAGTGAGAAATCACAAGCCAACATAAGCTTAGGGAAAAACCAGGTGAAAAACTATACAATCAGTCTAAGCTAACTACAGCCCAGCCAAAAACTATCTTGACCTTGTAGACCCTGCTTAGGACAAGGGGGCTACATATCATGTGTCTTAAGGGAAACCTGTACTAAGGGAAATAAAGAAGCTGCAATTTCTGTCTGAAAATACTAATTGCCTCGGCTGTCTCTGGATTTATTTTCTAAAATCGCTGGGTAGGAAAAAGCATTCATGTAAGATGTTCTGATATTGGTTAAATACTCAATGTGAGTCCACTGAAGCCAACCTGACAACCAGGTAACTGGTATTTCATAAGGAGAGATCAGGAATGGCAGCCCTCGCATTTGTCTAATGACAGGTCTGTGTTTCCTCCTCAACCAACAATTACATTCAGACCTCCATTATACTGTATATACAAACTAATGAAAATTGGTATTAAAAACTGCTGTCACGTCCTCACACCCACCAATCCGATTCTCTTAGAAAATGATAGCCTGGCTCTGGTTGGTGACTATGGGGAACTACAGAATCTTTATAGATGAGACCTATGAAATGGAACATGACATCTTTAGATTCTGGGTTGGTATACATGACAGTGGTAGAAGGAATAGGAGGGGGTCTGGTGGAATAGAAGGAATAGGAGTGGGGTCTGGTGTAATAGAAGGAATAGGAGCGGGGTCTGGTGGAATAGAAGGAATAGGAGGGGGTCTGGTGGAATAGAAGGAATAGGAGTGGGGTCAGGAGGAATAGCAGGAATAGGAGCGGGGTCTGGTGGAATAGAAGGAATGGAAGCAGGATTTGGTGGAATATAATTAATAGGAGTGGGGTATTGTGGAACAGAAGAGGGATCTGGTGGAATAGAAGGAATAGGAGTGGGATATAGTGGAAGAAAAAAATAGGAGCAGGGTCCGATGGAATAGGAGCGGGGTCTTATGGAATAGAAGGAATAGATAGATGTGAGGCTGGTGGAATAGGAGGAATAGGATTGGGGTCTGGCGGAATAGAAGGAATAGGATTGGGGTCTGGCGGAATAGAAGGTATAGGAGTGGGGTCTGGTGGAATAGAAGGGATAGGAATGCGGTCTGGTGGAATAGAAGGGATAGGAGTGGGGTATGGTGAAAAAGAAGGAATAGATGTGGGGTCTGGTGGAATAGAAGGAATAGGATTGGGGTCTGGTGGAATAGGAGGAATAGGATTGGGGTCTGGTGGAATAGGAAGAATAGGAGCAGGGTCTGGTGGAATAGGAGGAATAGGAGCAGGGTCTGGTGGAATAGAAGGAATAGATGCGGGGTCTGGTGGAATAGAAGAAATAGGATTGGGGTCTGGTGGAATAGGAGGAATAGGAGCGGGGTCTGGTGGAATAGAAGGAATAGGAGTGGCGTCTGGTGAAAAAGAAGGAATAGATGCGGGGTCTGGTGGAATAGAAGAAATAGGATTGGGGTCTGGTGGAATAGAAGGAATAGGAGCGGAGTCTGGTGGTATAGAAGGAATAGGAGTTGGGTCTGGTGGAATAGAAGGAATAGGAGCGGAGTCTGGTGGTATAGAAGGAATAGGAGTTGGGTCTGGTGGAATAGAAGGAATAGGAGTAGGGTCTGGTGGAATAGAAGGAATAGGAGCGGGGTCTGGTGGAATAGAAGGAATAGGAGTAGGGTCTGGTGGAATAGAAGGAATAGGAGCGAGGTCTGGTGGAATTGAAGGAATAGGAGCGGGGTCTGGTGGAATAGAAGGAATAGGAGTGGGGTCTGGTGGAATTGAAGGAATAGGAGCGGGGTCTGGTGGAATTGAAGGAATAGGAGTAGGGTCTGGTGGAATAGAAGGAATAGGAGCGGGGTCTGGTGGAATTGAAGGAATAGGAGCGGGGTCTGGTGGAATAGAAGGAATAGGAGTGGGGTATGGTGAAAAAGAAGGAATAGATGTGGGGTCTGGTGGAATAGAAGGAATAGGATTGGGGTCTGGTGGAATAGGAGGAATAGGATTGGGGTCTGGTGGAATAGGAAGAATAGGAGCAGGGTCTGGTGGAATAGGAGGAATAGGAGCGGGGTCTGGTGGAATAGGAGGAATAGGAGCAGGGTCTGGTGGAATAGAAGGAATAGATGCGGGGTCTGGTGGAATAGAAGAATATAGGATTGGGGTCTGGTGGAATAGGAGGAATAGGAGCGGGGTCTGGTGGAATAGGAGGAATAGGAGTGGGGTCTGGTGGAATAGAAGGAATAGGAGTGGGGTCTGGTGGAATAGAAGGAATAGGAGTGGCGTCTGGTGAAAAAAGAAGGAATAGATGCGGGGTCTGGTGGAATAGAAGAAATAGGATTGGGGTCTGGTGGAATAGAAGGAATAGGAGCGGAGTCTGGTGGTATAGAAGGAATAGGAGTTGGGTCTGGTGGAATAGAAGGAATAGGAGTAGGGTCTGGTGGAATAGAAGGAATAGGAGCGGGGTCTGGTGGAATAGAAGGAATAGGAGTAGGGTCTGGTGGAATAGAAGGAATAGGAGCGGGGTCTGGTGGAATTGAAGGAATAGGAGCGGGGTCTGGTGGAATTGAAGGAATAGGAGCGGGGTCTGGTGGAATTGAAGGAATAGGAGTAGGGTCTGGTGGAATAGAAGGAATAGGAGCGGGGTCTGGTGGAATTGAAGGAATAGGAGCGGGGTCTGGTGGAATAGAAGGAATAGGAGCGGGGTCTGGTGGAATAGAAGGAATAGGAGAGGGGTCTGGTGGAATAGGAGCGGGGTCTGGTGGAATAGGAGTAGGAGTGGAGTCTGGTGGTGAGCAATGTGCTTCAGTTTGGCTTTGTAGGTTTCTGCAAGTTACAATAAAGCTTTTTGGATACAAAGCATAAACCAGAAGCAGATGTGTATTGTTCTCTGTTTAACCCCTCGCCTACAGGGTACTTATACCCCCTTCCTGCCCAGCCCAATTTCCAGCTTTCAGCGCTGTTGCACTTTGAATGACAATTGCGTGGTCATGCAACACTGTACCCATATGAAATTTTTATAATTTGTTTTTGACAGAGCTTTCTTTTGGTGGTATTTAATCTCCTCGGGTTTTTTATTTTTTCTTAAACAAACCAAAAACCACTGAAAATTTTGAAAAACAAAAATGTTTTTTCTTAGTTTTTGTTATAAATTTTGTAAATATGTGATTTTCTCCTTCACTGATGTGCGCTAATGAGGCTGCAGTGATGGGCACTGATGAGGAGGCACTGGTAGGTGGCATTAATGGCATTGACAGGCATCACTGATGGGCACTGAAAGGCAGCACTCATATGGCACTGATAGGCATCACTGATGGACACTGATAGGCGGCACTGACTGGCACTGATAGGTGGCACTGATTGGCAGCACTGATAGCTGGCACTGACTAGCATTGATAGGTGGCACTGACTGGAACTAATGGGTGACACTGAAAGGCAGCTCAGATGGGCACTGATATGTGGCATTGATGTGGCACTGATGGGCACTGTCAGGTGGCATGGATGAGCACTGACAGCTGGCACTGATGGACACTGACAGGTGGCACTGCTGGGGCTACACAGATCATCAGGGCACACTGATCATCAGTGCTCTTATGATCAGTGTAGATGTCCCCCCTGAGGAATGTCGATTACCGGCTCTCCTCTCCTCTGTCAGCGTGACAGCTCGTGGGGAGAAAAATGCCAATACCCGGCATTTTCCTGTTTACATGTGATCAGCTGTGATTGGACATAGCTAATCACATGACCGAGCCGACATCTTCGGCTGTTTCCGTCGATCGGTGATCCGCTGTGTCTGAGAAACACAGCGCACCGCCGATCGCCGCGCACCGGGAGCCTCGCATGTGCGGTTAGAATGGGAGGATGTCATATGACGTCCTCCCAGAAGGAAAGAACCACCTTGCGTCCGTCATATTACTATATGGCAGGTGGGAGGCGGTTAATATCTGTATATTCTAGTTTTGCAGCTCATTTTAGAGGGATTGGACGCTCTGACCTCTGTGTGTGTATGGAGAGATTTCCTTGATTAGATTCTGTAACATTTTATTTTCCATCCAGTTCCTGGTCTGCCTGATATAGTGAATGTTCCATCGATGGAAGATAACACAATTAGATGGAGACTGTCTGAGGAATGGGGGGAGATTACCGGATTCCAGGTAAAATAATCCTACATGATTTATTTTTAATTCCATATTGGTCAGTTATTGGTTACATGTTGCAGACTAATTTCCTTATATAAAGGGAAGGGTTGCGAGTCAATTTTATTTGACTTTTTAAAGGGAATGCATTTTAGAAAATATGTTTAAGGTTTTTTTTTTTTTTTCTCGTGGTAATATAATTTTTCATGGTAATTTACAAAAAGAAATGTCATACAGGGTGTATCTATGACACAAGATTCCCAGAGCACTGTGAGTTAACTAACAAGAGAACACAGCACTGGGTGTTTCCTTTCAGACACAATGGGGTTACTTTACTAAAGGGGAATAGATTGTTCACTTTGTAAGGGAATTTTCCCTTAGCTTAGTGAATGAGGTGAAGCTCAGCTAGCTTCCATCAAATTATAGAGTTAGGACTGCAGTACATTGCGGTGCCATGAAGTGGCCTCTGCAGCTTATGCCTGTATTTGCAAAGGTGTGCAAACTAACCCCCTTGTTGTTAACGCGAACTGCTAGATAGGACAGTTTGGTTTACTGCAGACTGGCTGGTAAGTGAGCTGGGAATTTATATTTGTTTTTTTCCTTCCAGATACTCCTTGCTGTAAAGGCCAGTTATAGGTTGGGGGTTGGTGAATCGGTGGTGGTGGCACACTGGACACCTTTGCTGCCATTGTGCTGTTTGCTGGGTTTCCAGTGCGTTTCTGTAACTTTAAGGAAGGGTGGGCTCCCTCCATGCTCACCTGGCCTTAATCCATCCATTATTATATATGTGCTCCTACTATGGAGGCTCTCAAGTCATAGAGGTAGGACGGCAGTACACTGGGGTGCCGTGACGTGGCCTCTGCAGCTCACGAAAATGTAAACCGTTAGACAAGGACAATTCCATTTGAGGCGGGCTGGCTGCTAAGTAAGCTGGAAATTTTTGTTTGTTTTTTGACTTGAAAAATCCTGTTTTTTAATCTTTTTTTGCACGATTGGGTGTTCTTTTGCAAAGTGAATTTTCTCTACATTACCTGCAAGGTGAACTGCCTATTAGCCTTCAGTAAAGCAACCCATCTGCCCCAGAATGAAACCTCTGGTGGAGTTGTTTAGATGGAGGGGGAGGAGTCACTGCTCTGACATACTATTATTAATATTATTATGTAGGATTTTTTTGGCACCAAAATGTTGGCAGTGCTTTCCAAGATAAATGGAGACAGTACATTTACATTACAATCTGATAGAAGAGGATCTGGAGGGTCCTGCTCATTGGAACTTACAGTTTAAAAGGGAAGGGCAAGTGGTACAAAAGGTAATAACTGCGAGGGATTCGTTGATGGTGGAGGCAGGATAGGCCTGTAAGATGGCTGGTGCCTGGCACAGTTCCATGTGGCCTTCACAGACCACCGGGCACAAGCCTTAACATACAGGTTGCAGGGTGTCACAAGTTGATCAGTCTAAACCAATGCTGTCCCGTGCACAGATGACATCTGGAGGTCCAGTCTTTCCATCATGCTGGCACTTACATAGTTAACCCCCACTTCCTCAGGAATAATCACACACCTGGTCTATATGCAAGCTTCCAGGACCCGGATGGCCAGGTTTTCACCACATCTCTCACTTCATATCTCAGGCATTGGCTGATATATTATCAAACAGAGGCTTCTTGTTGACACAAATTCTTTTACTGAAATAACTTTTCAACCGTGCAACCAAAAATTGGCATTAGCAAAGGCCAAATATTGGCTTGAGCATAATGAAGAATAACGTAGCTTTCAGTTTGGAGGGGCATACCTATCCTCTCCATGCCTGGCTGTAATCTCTCCCATAGACCAGGGGTCTCCAGACTTTACTAAGAGCCAGTTTGCTGTCCTTCAGACTTTAGCGGGGCTAGACTTTGCCCAATGGAAGTATAAAATATCCTGGTGTCAGTGGATGTAACCAATGCCCCATCGTTAGTATCAGTGGGAAGAATAGTGCCCCATCACTGGTGTCAGCCCCAACGGTTGGATAAAGACAAGTGAAGGGCCACTTCCAGCCCTTGGGCTGGAATCTGGGAACCACTGCCATAGACTATGCAGATCTTTCAGAGGGGTGAACAAGTGTACAGAGTCTATGTACCATCCTCCCTCTTGTGAGCTCCAGAGAATAGGAGATTACCCTCCCCTTGATAGTAACAGCACAAACCATGGAACACAACATTTTCTCTCTTTATCTCCCAACAAAAAAGCCCCTTAGTTTAAACTCCACCTACCTTATCAGGGGCGGACTGACAACTCATGAGGCCCCCCGGGCAATAGGGGATCATGGGGCCCCTGTGTCCTTGCCCACACTCAAAAAAGCCTATAAAAAAGGTACCAGGGGCATCTTATGGGGCCCCCTACTGACCCCGGGCCCTCGAGCAGTGCCTGAATTTCCAAATGGTCAGTCCGCCCCTGAGGAGGATCAACCCTTAAAGTGTTTGTTACTCCAACAACATAATAATAGTAATAATAATAACATCTCATATTCCATATATCTGTCTGTTATACATGTACTTGTGTTAAGAAGTATCCTGTTCTCTTTGCATTGCTCCCTTTGTGTGAAATCCCTGGTGATCCTGCCAGTTCCCTTGCTTTTTTTTATTTCAAACTGAGAGAGCATTTTCATCCCTATGTAGTTCATTTTCTGACTGTGCTGGGAGCTCAGCCTGCCTGCCCTCCAATGGCCAAGACCTGCACTGACACACCTCCCTGCACAGCTCTTCACTGGGAAGATCAGGGTACTGCTGTTTCTCTACTTGTTATAACACACCCCCTTGCTGTCTCCACCCCCACCCCTCCAAGTGCCTTATGCAGTTGGGAACAGAGGTCATGTGATCACTTATAAAAAAATATATTTGTACTTTTTTATATCTATACACAAATTATGTGTCTTCCATTATCATTTTAAACTAAATGGGTTGTTTTGCAAGGTAAGGGTTCACATGTACTTTAAGGGGAACACCACCTACAGGCTTCCCTGAAGAGAGGAGTTTTCATGGATCTCCAAAGAGGTGGAAAGAGTAGAAGATAGCAGGACAGCTTTGTGTAGGGACTTCCAGAGGATGGGAGAGGATCTGGGGAAGTTCTGGAGGTGAGCATGGGACAGGAGGTGATGAGGGAACTGGAGAGCAGGAGGTTGTAAGCAGGGTTAACCATTGTGTAATGTTCTGGATCATGTTTCAGCCTATGATATTATTGGTCTATTTTTGTTGATTTTAATCTAATGATGTATATAAAATGAAGGCAAATTTAATTTTCAGTCATATTATACAATTTTTGTTGTCTTCAAAGTCCCCATTGGAGGAAAGCAAAAGTAATGAGAGCAGAAGGTCATGGGGGGTTTTGGGTGACATTCACTTGCGTGTTGACTTCAGCTTGAACTACTGAGCTCTAAAGAACAGATTTTCTACAAAAGCGTTAAGGGATTTGTAAAACAGAACGACCTTTAATAAAGTGGTATTTAGGTCAAAATTTACTTAAAATGCGTAAAAAATGCTTGAAAATAGACGTGTGTTGCCTTCCATTGATTCACATTTTTATGCATGTTGACATGCATTTATATACATTTTCATGCATGTTAAGTTGCTTTGCTTTTTGTAGATTATTTCTCTTGACATCACATCATTTTCCTGTTTGGGTCCTTTTATGGGCTAAAATATTAAAAAGCTTTTTTTTTCTCCCTCAATAGACTTGCCTTGCATTGAATTGTGTGTAACACCCTCCAGGTTTGGTTAGCTAGGTTTTTTAGATAGAGCCTGGGATGAGTCAGCCTGTGAGTGAGACAGGAGTTTCTCTCAGGATAGGCTAGGGAGGATATACAGGTCAGAGCTTCTGGAGCCCTCCCACCTTTTCAGAAACTTAGATAATTTTCTGGAAGAGGAATGGAGGAGGGGAGGAGGCTCAGATCTGCATGTTTGAGGGATCTTGCTCAATCCCCTAGCAGGAGGCTGGGCATGGTGACCAAGGTAACCCTTAAATGTGATAGAGCCTGGGGAGCAGTGTGCAGTGTCAGGTGGAAGATGGATCGAGGAAAGCTGGAGTGTAGAGCCTGTGAGGGGGCCACAAGGAGGGGAGCCTACCTAAAGGATGGATGCTGGAAAGGAGGATCTCCTTTGCCTCATCATCTCCAAGGGAGGACAGCCTGTGCAAGAGGGAAGGAGCCAGCCCAGCATAAGGCCTGAAGGCAGCCACCAACCCACTAAGCTAACAGGAAAGGATGGAGTGAGTAATCCTACATCTTCTGGGTCAGATAAAAGGAGAGGGCAGTCAGGTGTAATACCCAACTAGCTTCTCATCTGATATTGTTCAATTGGCAACTCTTGGGCCCCCCTTTCTCAGGGATACCCTCAGGCAAGAAGAGGAGGAATCATCTGGGTTCTGAGGAGGTACACCAGAGAGCCTTTAGTGCTCTTAAAGAAGAGACTGTTTCCCTCTACATTCTTGTACATAGTTGCTCAAAAGTTGTCCTCAAAAGTTCTTCAGTTCCTTGGGCATCCCATATACCATTAGACCCCATTCAAGTTGTTAACCTCTTAATAAAAACAACAAAACCAAACTCAAGCACTGTTTAATGACTCTGAGTGTACAAGGGTGGAAAAAAATCTGTTG